GCCCGGTCTCGCTCCGCGGTGACGTCAGCATCAGCCGAGCTGCGCCGCAGAGCGCGATTGGAGGGCGGCAGCAGGCGTGATCCTGCGCTGGAAAGGCCATGAACGCGAGTGAACCCGAGCTGTAACTGTAACCCACCGTGAGGGAGGGGTGTACACAGGAATACAGCTCGGAAGGGTTTCGTTTCCTGAAAAGAAAATAGCTTTCTGTACCAGTCTGGTGCACGGCAGTAACATCTCCTTAATAACATCGAGTCACTGAGGGGAAATTGTGTTGTCTTATATAACCATATGTAGGCTGTCTCCGAACTGTGCATTACATAAAACATAAACATTGAAACTTGGAGCAAACAGCGGCAATTGCAGTCACTGTTGCACAGTCAAAAGCAAACCCTGTGGATTTAGCTGTAGTTTATATGTGCCGTGGGACTAAATCAACATTGGAAAACAAACAGCCGACAAACATGTTCCTTTAGTTAAGAAAAGCTACGCTATCTTAAGTTAAGCAAGTTAAATGTCCACTTGTTGTCTAAATGGTTTACAGTCAGAACACCCAGCCATTACCCGAGAGGACCAGTACGTGATCGGATCCATGTCACGCTCTCTGTTGGTCACATGGTTACATAAACAAGCAGTCAAGAAGCTGTGCCTGATGCGACGATTATTTTGTAAAAACAACAAGTTTTCTATACGTTTTTTTTTTTAAAGAAAAGCAAAACTCACCTTTTGTAAGCTGACAGATGCACGGTGCTGTAGGGGAGCAGGCGGGAGCAGGCCACCAGGTTCCCCTTCCAGAACGCCCGGAGCCCCTCTTTCTGGTACACGAGGCGGAAAGTGTTCAGAAAGCCCCGCTTGCAGTGAAACGTGCCCACCTGACTCAAGATCTTGACCACATCCAGGGGGCAAGTGGCCGTTTTGCTGAAGACCCCCGCGATGCCCATGCACGCCAGCCCCTGCGACGCCGTCACTCGCGTGTCTCTCTTGATCGTTGCCATGATGTCACCCCCTGGCACGGCCCGGCGCCGA